CAGGGAGAGTTCCTTTTATGTTCTTTGGTTGTGGTAACCCAAGTAAAAAATTCCTGTATAAGCAGCTCAAACTGGTCAGAGTTTACACAAGCCTAAGGACCTACCCATATATATTGATTGGCCACTTAGACATTGAGAGATGTATTGTGGGAGGAAGGGCAGGGAGTCCCATGCTACCCATACCTGGAAGCAGTGGCGTAACAATCACCATAGCGACCCAGGCGGCCGCTATGGGGCCCGGGGCACAGTGGAGCCCGGCCAGATGCCGTGCGGGCGCCTGGGTCGCTATGGGATCCTCTGCTGGTGGCTTTCACTGGCGGCTGAAGACGAACACACCGCTGTTCAGATCACTGACAGTAATCTCTGCAGCAGCGTGTTCCTCTCCACAGAGTCAATGAGAGCCAGCAGCAGCAGTGGAGGAGGCGGGGCTTGTGGTCCGCAGCAGCGGAGGAGGCGGGGCCCGGTGACGGAGGAAGAGGCGGGGCCCATCAGCGACCGTGAAGGAAGAGGAGGCGGACAGGTAAGGAGTGCGACCAGCCCACCTGAGGGTGACCCTGCAGAGCCCACCATAGAGAGTCTATGGTGGGCTCTGCAAGTTCACCCTCAGGTGGGATCTCGAGTGGACAAGGGGTATAACTAGAAATCACGGGGCCCCATACAAAATTTTGCTATGGGGCCCTGTGATTTCTAGTTACGCCCCTGCCTGGAAGTACCAAGTATGGGAAAGAATGGAGGGTGGAAGAGAGCAAAAAAGTATCAGCAGCCTTATGTTATCATTCATGTAGAGGTTAGCTTTCACGGTTGACCTCAGAAGCCCCCTCTACACCACCTCTCCTCTATTATACCATATGACTGTCAAATAAAAAATTATACTTCATGTTTTTCCTCGGCTTGAAACTAATCTCCTGCCCTGCCAGCTGTAAAATAGCTGCTAATTAAACAAACCGCACAGTTCTGCACTTAAGCCGTAAAGCATCATATCCAGTGGCAATAAACCGCAGAGAAATTGGTTATTACCACATTAACGCCACTCTTCCTGCTGCCATTATCACATAATCCAGTCATTGGCTGCCCTTAAACGCTATTTAAATATTACCACTCGCTTCTATTAAACGCCTATTAAAGATTTTTTTATTAAAACCACCTACATGGAAACATTGAAAGTCGAAGAGTAGCTTTTGTTGCCCCTAGTGATCAATCGTCTGCTCATTTTCATGTATAAGCAGCACAGTTTTCTTTCTGACATTAGCATCCATAGGGTTCATTTTTTAAGTGGTGTTTTTTTTTAAAAGTGCAGAAATCTGACTTTTTGTTACAAGCAACACAGGCACTTTCCATTTTAAACACTTTAAGGCCTCATTCACGCTGGAAACGGCACGCACGTACAGCTCTGTACTGCTTCTTCCTGGCAGAACTGCTGGTGCCAGGGCCGCAGGTGCATATGCGCGAAATGCACGATGGGCGTGGTACACAGGCTGCGCGGGCGTTCGCATAGTGCGCCCGCGCCCATTTAGTACCATCAGGTGTTGGCCTTGATGAGGGAGGTTCCCAGCACACAGTGCCCACCCATTCCCTCATGCTATTGGTCGCCTCGGCAACCGGGGGTGGTCCTAGGTTCCCCTGTGTATAAATCCCAGTCAGAGCCCTGGCTTGTTGCTGAGTTATTCTACCTATATGGTGCGATCGCCCAGCCCCCTTGTGTTTGCAACTGCTGCCATTCCTGACCCCTTTATCTGGATTCCCGGTTACTGATCCTTCAGCCTGCCTTCCCGTTTTTGCACCTAGACCCGGACTGGACTTGATCACGCTTTTGGATTCCCCTCTTGTACCTCGCTTTCTGACTCCTTTGTCGTTCCTGCCATTGGGTTCCACTCACGGCTCAGCCGTACCCCCCTGACACCTTCTTCTGCATTGACTTCCTTCTGCATTGTCCACTTCCTGCATTGACCTGCTTCTGCACTGACCTCCTCCTGCATTGACCTGCCTCTGCATTGACATCCTCCTGCACTGACCGGCTTCAAATGGGTTTTGCAGACCCATAAACTTGTATGACAATGCAAAACGCATGTGATGCGAACAAAAGCCCACTTACAGCTGCCCCTATTCTACTCATAGACAGGAGGGGTTTGTTACCTTATCCAGACAATACCAACCAAACAGAATATTAATAGATGATAGACGTTTCTTGATTGCTCAGAGTACAAACGTGAACTCTCTGCCAAGGGGACTGCACATATTTATGTCATGATCATTTAAGCCGACAATTGTGTGGTGGTTGGATCTTCTGAATGCACTCTTTTGGCTATGGCTGGCCACATAGAATGCCTTCCTCTGACAATCCATTTCTACCTTAATGAACTTTAATGTAAATTGTAGAGTTTTGCAGCCTTTATTATTTTTAAGACTAAGAAATAGATCCGATCACATTTTAGGAGCCATTTAAAAATCAATAAAACTTCTAAAGATTCACAAACTAGGTGTGAGTTTTTAGATGCAATAACATGAATAAAAGCATTACTGGCCTGGAATAAGTATGGAGGATGGAAGTTGACTTTTCAGATTTTTCTGGCTATTTGCTTGTTGCTGGACAATTATGCCATCAAGGTGACAAGTTAGGAATGGTGAATCCATAGCTCCTTGTTCATAGGTTCCCTTTAAAAGAGAACTATGGGGTAAGTGTTTTCCCCCATAGTTCTCCTCAGGGTCACGGGAGGACATAAACTAGCGTCCTCCCGTGACCCAAAGCTCAGTATACCGCGAGTTATACTAAAAACACAGCAGCTGGGACGGATCCCGACATTACTGTCGAGATACACCCAGCTGCGTGATTGACAGCTGGCTATGCCTATCTAGAGGCAGAGCCAGCTGTACCCGCACCCTCCCCCGTTCGTTCCACCAGTCAGCGCTGGAGGAGAGAGGGGGGGGGGAATCCCTGCAGGGAGCCATTAGTGACACTCACGGCTCTCTGCAGGGACAGGATCGAGAAGTGAGAGAGCGAAGGTATGTGTTCGCTCACTTCCCGATCTATTGAGCCGACGTGTGACGGTTTCCTTGTCACACGTCAGCTCGAACTATGAGGGTGAGTGATTTTCACTCACCTCATAGTTCTCCTTTAAGTAAGCCTGTGTGTCTTTAATGACACCTACCTTCTTTATGGACAACAATCGGAGGGTCTCAGTCATCTGTCGCTGCTGTTCAAGCCAAAGATTTTGGTATTTGTGTTCAACTAATTCCAATATGGGTGTCGATGGCCTGAAAGAAAAAGATTAAATCTGAATTCAAGGCAGAATCAAAGTCCTTATTTATTACAGTTAGGTATTTGTTAATAAATACTTAAACAAACATGATTTTAAATGCAGCTAGTGTAACTACCTAAATCCATATTACCGTAGTATCAGCCTCAAGTAATCCTTGTACAGCAGCACATAGACCCAATATTGTGGAGAGAGTTTGAGGTATTACAAGAGGCAGCCAGATTCAGGGGTCCCTAGGCTGCACCAAAAGAGATTTGCTCAAAAGGACAAATTCAGGTTTTTCACAAAACCTCCCAGCCCCCCTCAATAGCCCCCAAAACATAAAACCTAGTGCTGGGTTGCCTGCGCCTGTGTGCTTGCACCCTATAGACTTGAATAGGCTGCAGGGCCGGTGCTAGACTATTTTGTGCCCTAGACAAGACCAGCTACTTGCACCCCCCAGCCCCCCTCCTGTGGCTTAACCCCCAATCCCCCCTGGCGCGACCCCATTCTCCTGCTGGCTAACTTCCACAGGCGACAGGTGGATGTAAGCACCCGGGAGCAATGGCCAGACTGCTATAGGCTATTTTAATTTGAAATAGTCCATAGCAGACTGGCTATTTAAACCCTACACACTGAGCAGAGTTCCGCTCTTGTAAGAAAGTATATTACTGCTGTGGAAGAATCACACAGCAAAAATGTAAAAAATGTGTCAGTCATTTATGAACAGAACCTGAAAACTAGCTCAGTCATGAAGGGGTTAATGGGAGGGCGCAATAGCCAGTCTGCTATTGGCTTTTGCAATTTGAAAGACGGAGGGGGCACCGTGAGGGGGGTGAGTGGTCAAGTTTGCGCCCTAGGCAGCAGTGCGCCCTAGGCGGCTGCCTAGTTTGCCTAGTGGCAGCACTGGCCCTAGGCTGTACATGTACTCCAGGACCAATGGTCCATTTAAGTCTATGGGATGTTAGTGCGCAGATGTAGGCAGCTCAATACTAGGTTTTCACTGGCCGGACTGCAGACAATAAAGGAGGTGACTGCTGCTGGAGGAGGTAAGAAAGCACTTGGGAAGGGGCACAGCTGTGTATATATGGGGGGCTAGGGAGGAAGGCTAAGAGGGCTTTGTAAAACACATGTACTTTTCTTTAAAAACTACATGCAGGCATCATATGGAGCACTACAATTTTGTAGATGTGTTATTTTGCATGACACAATAATTGGCCCCTGTCAATATACCTCCCTTCACTCTCATCTTTTTTTTTACTTACTGGAGTGATGTGAAATAGCCAGTACTGGTGAGAATGTGACTCTCTCCCCTTCCACCCACAATGCAGTGATGGGTGGCCTTCATGGGCAAACACAGGTTCACTTTAGCTTCCCATAATCCTCAGCACACCAGATATCAGGCTAAGATTGTGAGTTTCAGCACTGCTATATATAACCAGGCTTATTACTTTTTCTCAGATAGAGTGGGGAAGGATTTTACTGCTATTGAGGGTTCCATTAGGGAGATCACAGTGGTCCTGGCCTTTCCCCATGCTACAAAAAAAGCATCTTTATTTTTGCACTTTCTGTCTGGTGAAATCGTTATTACTGGGAAGACGATAAGGTGAAATCTCTCTAACGAACCCTAGATAGCTGTAAAACCGACAGGGAAGGTACTATTTCTTAACCTGTTTTAAGCACTTGAAGGTAAAGTGGGAAGAATTTAGGTAAGCTTACAGGTAGGTGGCACATGCTTACAGGTTGGGGATACATGCTTAGAGGTAGGTGACAACGGCTTACAGGTAGGGGACACAGGCTTACAGGTTGGGGACATATTCTCACAGGTAGGGGACACAGACTTACAGCTAGGGGACACAAGGCTTACAGGTTGGGGACATATTCTCACAGGTAGGGGACACAGACTTACAGCTAGGGGACACAAGGCTTACAGGTTGGGGACATATTCTCACAGGTAGGGGACACAGACTTACAGCTAGGGGACACAAGGCTTACAGGTAGGGAAAATATAGTCTCACAGGTAGGGGACACAGACTTACAGCTAGGGGACACAAGGGTTACAGGTAGGGGAAATATTCTCACAGGTAGGGGACACAGACTTACAGCTAGGGGACACAAGGGTTACAGGTAGGGAAAATATAGTCTCACAGGTAGGGGACACAGACTTACAGCTAGGGGACACAAGGGTTACAGGTAGGGAAAAAATTATTACAGGAAGAAGACACAGAATTACAGGTAGAGGACAGAGGCTTACAGGCAGGGGACGAAAGCTTGCAAGTAGGGGATGCAGGCTAACAGGTAGGGGACTAAGGCTTACAGGTAGGTGACACAGAATTACAGGTAGAGGAAAAAGGCTTATAGGTAGAGTACACAGGCTTACAGGTAGGGGACACAGAATTACAGGTAGAAGACAGAGGCTTACAGGCAGGGGATGCAAGCTTACAGGTAGGGAATGCACGCTAATAGGTAGGGGACTAAGGCTTACAGGTAGGTGACACAGGCTCACAGGTACTGGCCGCAGGTTTACAGGTAGGAGATACAGGCTCACAGATTAGGGATGCAGGCTTACAGGTATGGCACACAGAATTAAAGGTAGATGACAAAGGCTTACAGGTAGGGGACACAGGCTTACAGGTAAGGGACAAAGGCTTACAGGTAGGGGACAAAGGCTTACAGGTAGAGGGTGCAGGCTTACAGGTATGGCACACAGAATTACAGGTAGAGGACAAAGGCTTACAGGTAGGGGACACAGGCTTACAGGTAGGGGCACAGGCTTACAGGTAAGGGACAAAGGCTCACAGATAGAGGACAAAGGCTCACAGGTAAGGGACACAATATTACACGTAGAGAACAAAGGCTTACAGGTAAGGGACACAATATTACACGTAGAGAACAAAGGCTTACAGGTAGGGGACACAGGCTTACATGAAGGGGACACAAGCGTATAAGTAGGGGACACAGGCTTACAGGTAGGCGACACAAGTGTACAGGTAGGGGACACACCAGTGTGCAAAACTGCTGTCTCAGTTGTAATGTTACCTGGCTATATCATGTTGCAGGGGTGTGTGAATCACAAAAAAAGCTACACAGAATGTAAAATATTATGTAAAAAAGGTAAAGCAGATCACATATACAGTATGTACATTGACTGTGTATTCAGCTGTTTGGCTAGTGTTACCCTTTAGGAATACAGGTGACCTTTCATCTGTATTAATCTACAATTCACACAAATAACTGGTATTTGTGAACATAATTGTGTTGATTTTTAACATGTCTTCTCGTGTCTTGTGTGGTCATTACAGCCTCCTGCGCACAACAATAGGGTTATTAATGCGGATTATCTACTTCTAGACTGGATGGGGGTCTGCAATACGCTCTCACGCTGCTTGCTCTCGCTGCGTCTTGAGTGGATCAGCTCAGTCTCTTGTATTGTAATAGCCATTTCTGCTATAGCTGGAAAGCAATGGAGCAAATGTAAATTGCAGAGCTGTTTTCTTCACCCCTGTGGTGACTTTTATTACTTAATTATTGCACTCCGCATGCAACAGAAGCAACCTAATCTATAGCTGTGTTATTTTAATGATGCAGATGAAGGGGGGGGCTTTGGATCCTATGTACGCAGGCTCACCCCAGAGGCTTTCTGCGGATCAGATGAGACATCTTTTTCAATGAATGCCCGGCACCCGCAACGCCCGCTGTAATGGTTAGCGTCTCAGAGCTTCTGTTCACGAGACAGGGACTGCTAACCAGCTGTCTGTCATTGGGTATCATCTGTTGTCTTCATGCATAGCTGCCAACATTCTAAAATAATTTCCAGGAACACTTTACACCTAGGCCCATTATTATTATTATGCAATTATTGTAATAACTATTCAGCACCATAATCTCCATTAGAGCCGTACAAATGAAGTCATACAAAGATGGGTGAGCAATACAGATCATACCAGATAATACAGATGCCAATCCCTCCACTGGCTTCCACTCGCCCAGAGGATAAAATTCAAAATATTAACAGTCACTTATAAAGCCATCCACAACTCTGTCCCCGGATATATCTCAGACCTTGTCTCAAAGTATCACCCTAAACGTCCCCTCCGCTCATCCATTGACCTCCTGCTTTCCAGCTCCCTTGTCCACTCCTCCCATACTCGCCTCCAGGACTTCTCTAGAGTCTCTCCCATCCTCTGGAACTCCTTACCCCAACCTGTCCGTCTATCTCCCACCTTGACTGCCTTTAGGCGTTCCCTAAAGACTCATCTCTTCAGGGAAGCCTATCCCACCTCAACCTAACCACTGAACCTTCACATTCTCACATAATTCATTCCCACAGCTACCTCATGTATCATTTCCCCCTCCTCTTTTAGATTGTAAGCCCTCAGGGGCAGGGCCCTCCTTACCATCTTGTCTTGAATTGTATTGTAACTGTAATGTCTTCCTTATATTGTAAAGCGCTGCGCAAACTGTTGGCGCTATATAAATACTATGTAATAATAATAATAATAATAATAATAATAGCAAAACGTATGAACAGAGAACTGCGATTGGAGTTCCCTCGAATGTTACGCATGTACAGACCTAAAAGTTGGTGCCTTGTTGGTCAGTAGTCCATTCCCTCTTACTTCCCCAGTTTTGGGTCAACCAGTCTTAACACACAACTCCAGTCAAAAAAATGTATTTAATTTTGGACAGAGAGGGTAAGGTTTAGAGCAGGGGTAGCCAAAGTCCGTCCCTCCAGCTGTGGTGAAACTACAAATCCCATGAGGCATCTCTCTCCGGGAGTCATGTCTGTGGCTGTGAGAATCCTGCAATGCCTCGTGGGATTAGTAGTTCCACCACAGTTGGAGGGCCCGGAGTTTGGCTACCCCTGGTTTAGAGTCTCTGCCATGTTTTATTTGCTCCCTACTTCCCTATTCAGGATATTTACCTTCATTACCTTCATTTCAGTGTGGCTATTTTATTTTGTTTGGCTTTAATTGTATGAGATTGGGAATATTTATGCAATGTGATGTCTAAGCTTCC